TTTTTCACCCATAGTTAAAATAGCTTCTATTCGTTTTGTTCTTGCAATTGCTAATCACTTAGACTTGAGATTGAGCAAATGGACATTAAGAATGCATTTGTCAATAGCAAGCTGGAAGAACCAGTGTATATATAGCAACCTCCAGGTTTTGAGATCCAAGGGAAGGAGCATTATATTTGTAAACTCCAGTGGTCCATTTATGGATTAAAACAATTCTGGTATAATACTTTGCACAAGTTTTTTGTAACTCTTGGTTTCTCTTGTGCAGGAGCAGATTGGAATCTATATTATTGTTTTTGTGATGGCTTGCTTATTCTCATGTGTATTTATGTTGACGATCTCATCATGGCCGGAAAGACAACAAATCTTAAATGGCTTAAAGAACTACTCTCCAAACAACTTCGAATGACAGATCTTGGTAAAATTTCCTTTTGCTTAGGCTTACAAATTGTGCGTGATAAGCCCATCAATATAAGTATATCTCAAATCTTATTAAGGAATATGGTGGTTTCTTTACTGCCCGTCTAGTTCCAACTCTAGCACTCCAATTCAACAAGCTCTCCAAAGTGGATCAACCACGTTCCGAGGGGGAGAAGAAGGAGATGGCTAAGCTACCATATCAAAATGTGGTTGGAGCATTGATGTATTTAGCCACATCAAGCAAACCAGATATAGCAGCAGCTATTTCCAAAGTGTGCCAGTTCATGCAAAATCCCAGAAAGAGACAATGCAATAGAGCAAATCTTTAACTACATACGACAAATTTCATCACTTTATCTCGAGTACAAGGGGATGGCTGGAGGAGAAATTGGATTCAGTGCACTTATACCATATGGAATGGTAGATGCTGATCTTGCTGGTGATCTGGATGATAGGAGATCAACAACTGGGTACATGTTCAAATTCTCTAATGCAGTTGTGTCATGGCATAGCCAGAAACAAAGGATGGTGGCATTGGCTACTTGTGAAGCAAAGTACAATGCGGTTATGGAAGCTGTTAAGGAATCTTTATGGATTCGACGCTTGCTCCAAGATATCAGTTTTGAGATGCAAGTACCACTGAATATCTACAATGACAACACAGTATGTCTTCAGTCCATCGTGAACCCAGTGCATCATGGGAGAAACAAAGATGTTTCATTACTTTATCAGGGAGTGGATCAAGAGAGAAGAAGTCAGGCTGAGATACATCCCCACAATAAAGATGACTGCAGATCTGCTCACAAAGACTACAATTGAAGTCCGACAGTTTGAATGACTACGACAACAACTTGGACTGGTTTCACAGGGGGAGCAGCAATCTGATTAAAAGACATCAGATCGAGGGGGAGTGTTGGAACCAAGGAGAGATCAAGGTGCAACCAAAGGAACTAGGATGTGTATATAGAGAAGTGCTGTACCAATATATGTCAAGTACTATTCCTTTACACCTGTTCCATCATGGCAAGCAATACTGGAGCTACAAATGACCACAAGTTGTTTTCGATGAGTCCTTGTGCAAGCAACTCCTGTACCTCGCTCCTCAGATGCTCTTGTTGACGTTGGAGAGCCTGGCTCCAGATAATATGATGCCTTCTACCCGTTCTCTCGCTTGCCTCCATATGCGATAGGCCGTCAGAAAACATGAGGAAATCTTGGCAGTAGTTGCTTCAACTCCTCTGGCATCACAGTCCCTTAAATATCCTGCAAGGCTTCCTCCTCCTCACCCGATCGTGACCGTTTCTCCATGCCTCTAGCATTCTCTCTGCATTCTTCTCACTAGATATGTCCGATTGTCCTTGTTCCTGCCCATCCAAGGTCCCCTCGCCTTTGAAACCCACTTTCTTCTCTGCTTTCTTTGGATTCAGTTTCTCTCCTTTCTCCATCCCGGGCCCTTCATTTCAGCCAACTCCTCCCCGGCCGCAGTTTGGCCCTCATCACTCCTATGCACCACTGCTCTTTTAACTCTCAACTTCCTTCTTAGGGTGGCGGTTGGGCCTCTAGGAAAAACGGACTCGTGGAAGGCTCGTGTCAATCCCTCCAAGAGAACCCGTCAGGAGCTACCTCCCATGGCTCCCAAGGTGACTCCAACCCCTGAACCAAAATCCACTCCCACATCTCCAAAGCAAAAACTGCACAGATTGGAGAATGGTGCTAACCTGGATCGAAGGTGCAGGGACAATGATTCTTCCGCTGGCCGCGAAAGACTGAAAATGCCAAAGCCCTCAGCGCCACCTTGTAGCCAGCGAATCTACCCTAAACATATGGATTTGTGTACGCTCTTTCATGATTATCGCCCAGGTCGCCAAAGCGCTAAAACAATCAGTATGATTGATCTAGCATGGACGTCCCCATAGCTCTCATAAATGCAATCCAGACGAGACCATGCACGCCTGGCACCTCTCTCACAGTTCTTCCCAGAGTTTCGTCCCAGCTCCATTCCTCGCCTTGACAACCACAGGCTTCCCACCCTAACCACTGACGGCCAGTCTCGCACATAACAATTTCATCGATTGATGATACCCGTTTACAGGATTTCTAGAAAGAATGTGTTGGCCAAGTGCTAAGGGGACGTAAAGAGGACTGGACAAGAAAAAGGAAGACAAGAAGCGAAACGCTTTGGCTCGCCACAACCTCTTCAAGCAGTACCGAGAGAGCAAAAATTGGGCCGGTAAAAGTTTCGGACCGGAGTTAAAGCGCTGCGGCGATAGGCTGGGCTTTCGGGAGGCAGCGCGCTAAGATTGTGTGCCTGGTGATGGAGCACATGCAAGAGCCCCGGCCATTCGCGGCGGTGGAGGAGATCGATCTATCCATCATGGTGACCCGGCGGATTTCTCAGGGCCATTCCAGAGCAACTTCCGTGCCTTTTTGGGCAGATGATCCAGCGGTGGTGCGTCCCGTTGGTGTCGCAGCATGGCGCCGAGCAATCGATGCTAGTGCTTGGGGAATTCGGGAGCTCTCGACGCCGCATTATCGCGCGGGAGAGAGAAAGAGAGGCTTCTAACCACAACACAGCGGGAACAGCAGCAAAGCCAGCGTCCGGGAGTGCACTTCTTGCTTTGGAAAACTCCGCCGTGGAACAGTGGATTCGATCGTCTAGCGCTTTAGCGTGAAGCAGGACACTGCTCAAAGGTGAGTAAAAACAAGTAGCTTTGTGTGTTCTGCGATTGGCCAATTGTTTCCAAGCGCACACAACAGGCCAAGAATCTAGCCTCGATGGTTTCTGTTCATTGTACACGTACACAGAAGTGGAACGGTAGCCTGTTATGGAAATCCATCATATTTGGCAAGTGCACAGTGACCAAGATGAGATCTTCACAGTCAAAACCGATTCACTCCAATCCTCATATATAACTGTGGAAATGAAAAACAATGAGGTACTTTCCTCTCTTGTTTTCCTTTAGTTCAGTCGCTTTCGCAGGACCAATTACAATTGAAGACTGTGGTGGCTTCCTCAGGAGTTGCATATATCCTTATTACTACCCCAACTCGAGGACTCTGGTTGCAATGTGCGAGGGGGATTATTATAATTATCACAAGTTGAGTGTCCTTGTAGACCTTCCGAACTTGCGATATTGCTCTAGAGACAAGTTCTTTGTTCTTCGACACCCCAAGTGTCCGATCGGGCCACAGAACGATAAAGGGTAGAGGGACATACCACAGCTACAGTGCACCGCTGATTAAGTGCGTCAAGAACGTTTGTGGAATACTTCAAATGTGTAAGTGTGTAAATGGCAAAACCCTTTAAATTTTTGGTTTGCTTAAGCAAATATTTAGAATATATTTAGATATTTTAGGATATTCTACTATTTAATCTATTTAGATTAATTTTATCTATATAATGTATAAACAGGTTTATAATTTATTAATTTGCTTAAACACTTTCTAATATATTCTACCATTTAATGGTTGATATGTAATCTTGTGTTTATAAATTATAAAAAAAATTTAATTATAAACTTTTATTTGATCAATAGGATTAATAAATAGGATTAAGCAAACCAAACATTACTAACACGTAGCAAATTATTTATGTATCAGGTATTTCAGAATTTTTTTCCTAAACCTAAAGGTTTCGACAAGAAAAGCTGCATCTTCTGTGTATAGGTTTTAATCTTTGGCCAAGGAAGCATTTATCTGTGAATGTTTCAACATGTTAGATATCGGCTCTTCTCAAACTTTTGAGGGATGACCCTTTGGGCCACATTTCACCTCAATCTCTATTCCTTTCACATGGTCTTTCTTCTTGGGATTTCATTTAGCTATTAAGTTGATTTTGTACTTTTTTTTTATGTCACTATATGGTATGGCAATGCTACCAGCAATCGTCCAGAAATTTAGCATGCCACGACAGGGGAAGAACTGTAGAGGACAAGGCCAAGGCAAAGCCCAGCCATGGCTTCTTTCAGCTCGTGGAAAGCTCAGTTTTTCAGTTTCTATTGATCAGTGACTCTGGCTAATTCATACAGGCTGTGACTTTGAACGAATCGTTCCTTCTGGTCATGCCTTGATATTGCCACCATATATACATGAACTCACCACGCACGGACACCTCCACAAACACTATTTCGTCGCAAATTTTCCCATTGACACCATACCATTGAAACCTGCAGTCGTCCAAAACTGTAGCAAATCCTTCCTTTTTCTTGGAATCGAGAGACAGTTGACGCACCAGCGTGGCGAGCCTAGACATATTTCAAAGTTTTCTTTTTGTGCGTGTGCCCGTGTTATGACAAGCTGCCAAATTGTTTTTGGCATTCTTTCAAGTGCAGCGTTAACCGGGATAATAGAAGCAGGATAATAACACCACTTTGCCAACTGTAAATATGGGCTTTAGGCATGGTTTTTCTTCTTGGAGCGGGTGATCAATCGACTCGACTTTTTCGCTCCTCGTGCTTCTTCTTCGTTGGACTTGAGTTTTAATATCGTTCTGGCCAATAGAAATTTAACATGTAATCCTTGCCACGTGGGTGAAGGTCCATCAATTTAAACAGTGTGGATTGCTAGCGAGGGAGGGAGAAGAGAGAATGGTGACATTTAGGGTTTGCGACAAGGATCCGGCGCAGGTGAAGCAATCTCCGCCAGGCCGCGGCCATTTCCTGGAGGGATTCAAGGATTTCCGGCAGGAGGGCTGCTACCAGGTGTTGCAAGGCACTAGCGTCGACGCGAGTGCCTTTCATCCACAGAAGAATGGCTTCGTCGCAAGCGCAATCAAAGCTTACAGCTCTCACCACAATCTGGTAATTCGCCCCGACGATGTGTGGCTCGCCATCGCCATCCAGTTTGGATTCTTCGTCAATGGCAATGCCGAGGCGCTGCGATCCATCTTTGTGGATCACCAGGGCAAGAAGGAGCTGGTTGTGTCCCAGGCGGCCGCGCTCCACAGCGCCGACTATGGGCTCCTGGCGAGGGAGATGAGCGTGGAGCTCAAGAAGAATATCAGGGACGGGAAGGTCTGCGACTGGATCTTGCCGAGCTTCTCGACTACAACCAAGAACGATGTGGTGGTGGGCAGTGTGGTTCTCATGGCAACCTTCAAGAGCTACTTCGAATACAAGTAAGTTGATTCACCCTCTTGGTTCTAGCTATGGTTTTGCTCTGTGTGTGTGTGAGTTTTCCTTCTTTTTTTCCCTTGTTTTCTTTTCCGTTCTTGTCTGCGTGAAAAACGACGTGATAGAGTTTAATCACCTCTCACTGTCATTCTATTGTGTCCACTCTGCGTACTTCTTTTTGTTTGCGTTGCTGTCAATGGTACGCTATGTGTTCTCCAGGTTTGTCTCTCGCTGTAGTTAAATCTTTGAAGCTAAGGGCTTGTTTCTATCCAGGTTCCAACTTTTGTGCGGGATTCCATACGTGACTCTCCTGGGAACCACCGAGGATTGGGAAGAAATCGATCGGAGGATCGACGAACTGGACAAGTATGGGAGCGAGTGCCAGAAGTGGCGTGTCATGCTCAAGAAAATCACTGCCCAGTTGGTGGAGAGCAGCAAAGGCAACGTTGACACGGACTTTTGGAACAGAATTTGTCACCACTTGGGAGGAGGATCGGGGCCGACATACATCTCCGGCTGGATCTCTTCCTTCTGTGTTTTTGACAGCGATGGAAAGTGGCGTGGCGATCAAAAGAGTTACCGGGATCTCTTCTCCGGGGACAAAGCTGTGGAGCTTGAGTATCCGTTCATCGACGACAGCAACATTGCTCCCGGCTACCTCACGCTGGATGTCAAGGTGGACGACAACGGGAAAACTTACGAGGCTTTCATGTTTGCGGGACACATGGGATACGAAGTTGTGAAGGATGACAACAAAGGGATTGCTCCAAAAGCTGTCTGGGCCATGACTCTCAAGGACAAGGCCAAGGCAAATCCCAGCCATGATGGCTTCTTTTAGTTTGTAGAAACCTGCAAGCTTTGGGATCATGGTGAGCTGTTACGTTTTTCTCATCCGTAACTCTGGCTAATCTCTTTTTCCCTTGTTTGTTTCCTTCTTTTCCAGCAGGAATCGTTCAAAGCTTGAGTTAGGCCGGACGATCATGATGTCGCACGGGCAGAGATGGAAAAATATTGACAAAATAGTGTGTTGTGAGGGTGTTGGTGTCTGATGAGGTCATGAATATGTGGTGGCTCTAAATGTGGAGGTTAGATTTTCAATGTAAAAGAATTCAGCCAAAACTGTAGTAGGGAATTCTTCCTACTACAATCTTTGGACAATTGTTGAAAAAATGAGGAACAAAAAAGTAATTCCATATAGTTACCTGTGACACATCTATGGCCAGACAAAAGTAAATAAGGTTTTCAAAATGGAGTTGTATTGAGATAGTTGGAGAAAGTATCTCCACTATCAGAACAATAGAAACCATTCTAGGCTCACATTGCCCACTCTTGCATGTATATTCTAAAATATTTTTTAATCTAACAGATTTCTCCTTTAAACTTTTCTCTGTAATAACATTTAATTTTAATATTCTTAGTTATCACTAATATAAGTTATGTTTACCATCTATGAGTGAGTGTGAGCAACTTTTAAGGTTTTAGCTTTCTCTCACTCCTTCAATAGATTAACAATTATACATGGACTTTTTGGCCTCTACTTTCTAGTTTCTTGCTTAAGATCTAACACAATCCTTGAAGAGCACCTCCCACACAAATAACTCTTGGATAAAAATAAAAGAATCCCAGTAAAAGTCATGTGGCCACCAAAGTTTAGCCTAAGCTTCTGCCACAAAAGTACTTGCATTTTAATGGATATGATTATTTTAATTTTCAACATTATAATGTATGTCATAAATTTCCATGCACTCCATGATATCTTTTAATTTGTGAAAATTTTTCTTTATGTCAAGAGTGCTTTAACACTTTTTATACAAACCAACATAGTTCATCTAGAGAGCTGGGATCTTACTGGATTCATTGATTAAAGAATACCAGTTTTAAGGATTATATTATAGGGATTTCTTTATATTTAAAAGTCATCTAATTTCTCAATTAAAATATGAGCTTAATCATTTTTTATTAGAATATATATATATATATATATAAACTCTCTTTCTCTCTCTCTGTGTCTCTCTCTCTCTCTCTATCTCTCTCTCTCTCTCTCTCTCTCTATATATATATATATAGATTCAGTTTATAATATTTGTTAGTAACCAATAATAATATATTTTCTTTTCCAAGCACACAAAGCGTTCCTACATAGTCTAACAAATTATTACTATTACAGAATAATTATTTACTTTTTACTATTTTAATGAAAATCAGTCATTAAGTTAAAAAAGAAAACTTATATAAAAAACTGAAAAATATGCTGTGAAGCATTATAATTTGAATATAAGTTTGGTCTCATGTTCTCATTCACTGAAATCATACCTCGTCACCAATATCTTCTCACTAAGATCTTGTGCAATATATACAGAATAAGAGATGGAATTCCATTTGATTTAGACAAAGGACTTTAGAATAATGCTAATGACAAAGCCGGCCGGAAATTATTGAGAACTGTTTTAAAACTAGTTTTCCCGAGCCGGCCGTGGTGCCGAGATCTACGCCACAGCACGCCCATGTCCTGGAGGGACTCAAAGATTTCCAGCAGGCAGGTGTTGCAGGACGCCAGCGTGGACGCCAGCGCCTTCCATCCGGAGAGGAATGGCTTCGTGGCGAGCGCGATCAGAGCTTACAGCTTCCACCACAATCTGGTCTGGTGATCAGGCCAGACGATGTGTGGCGCGCCATCGCTGTCCAGTTTGGATTCTTCGTCAATGGCAATGCCGAGGCGCTGCGATCCATCTTTGTGGATCACGAGGGCAAGAAGGTGCTGGTTGTGACCCAGGCGGCCACGCTCCACAGCGCCGACTATGGTCGCCTATGACTGGAGCTCAAGAAGAATGCCAAGGACGAGAAAGTTTGTGACTGGATCTCGCCGAGCTTCTCGACATGGATTGTGTTCTTTCTTTTGCTTTTGCTATGATAAGAACTTCCAGGTTCAAACTTGAATGCGGGATTCCATACGTGACTCTTCTGGGAACCATAACATTTACCAGTCTTTCATGTTTGCGGGACACATCTGATCCGAAGTTGTGGAGGATGACAACTAAGGGATTTCTCCAAAGAGCAATCCATGACTCTGAAGGACAAGGCCAAGGCAAAGCCCAGCGATGTCTTCTTTTAGCTCGTGGAAACCTAGCTTTTAGCTCATCTCTTTTTCTTCTTCCCTGTGACACGTTCCTTCCGATGGTCAAAGCTTGAGTCAGGCCCGACGACATCGCGAGTTTCAACGGTGTGGTGTGAGTTTCCTCAGCAGAGATGGAAAAATATCGACGAAACAGTGTTTGTGTGTTGGTGTGTAAATGGGACTTCTTTGTGGTGTGCTGTGCCATATCGAGGTTGATCTTCCATGGAGAAAAATTCAGACAAAGCTGTAGCATGGAATCCTTCCTTTTTCTTAGAATCAAAGAAAAACTGACGATATTTCCGCATGAGCACGATGTTGAAGTCTTCTTTGTGTTGTGACAAGGTGCCAACTTTGTTGGCTTTTTCTTTGAACTGTGCTTAGTGCAGCCTTATATCATCTAAGGAAACGCCCCAAGCAACAGGGTGCCGCTTT